TCCATTCATCATCAGGTTATAAAGTGTGCCCTCAAACGAAGATTTTCTTTGAAGTACGTGGAGCTGGAAACACAAGAGATGGGGTATGCTGTCTTTCTACGTAAACATTAACTAGGCGTGATATGTGAGTGTGCTCTTTAAAACAGATTATGGTCCTTCTGCCTACATTTCCTGACTTTGATAGACACAGATTCTCATCAATACCCCAGCATCTCATCTTCAAATACTGGTGTATCCTTTTCATATTGTACATACAAAGCTTACTGTCATGGTTAACATTAATGAACAGTTAACGTATCGCATAGCTTCTATGATAAGTATGGTGTATCTAAGCATAGTGTATTGTAAGCACTACGACGCCTGACACCCTGACAGTACAAAACTGGACCTGCATCAGACAGTACTTGTCCTTATGAGAAGCCACGCACAGTTAACAAAGTTTGGATCTGACAGCAGAACCAGCTGCACAGCTGGGGCCTGATGCAGTGCACTGGGGTGACTGGGAGCATCAGTGATTTTCAGTGCCGGTACCAACTCCAGCATCACAGTGGATGCATAACATTGCAGTCTGGACAGAAAAACACATGTTTACAGTTGTTTAAATTCGTTGTATAAAACAGCATTTTTTTTCATTTGTTTAAGAATAACAAGACTATTTGTGTCTCTTGTAAGTAATTTAAGAAATTTTGTAAGTACCTAGATTCTTTTTACATTTACTTTTTACTGCCACAGAGTCCACTGAACTTCAAATCTTTCAAAGTGGGTTTCCTGTTAATATCTGTAAATCTATCACCAAAAAATATTCTCTCTACTTTCAGTCTCAAGGCAATGATTTGGACACTTATAGGTGTACTTTGTTTAGTGTCACCTATGGTGTAGATTGGATGGATTTTGTAAAAGATGGCATTACTTTTAAAGAAACATACAATTTGACAGGCTATTGCATTTTACCTTCATTTTATTGCCATATTTTTCATCACACTCATTGTTTTCCAACTGTCACTAAATTGTTCATTTTCTTAGTCTGCTACATTTGTAGACCTATTTACTGTTTATAAAGCAATATGCACTTACAGGTTTTGGAGATGGCTTGGGCTCCGAGGGTCGCATGTGCAAGTGGGTCATCATTGCTTGAAGACGTTCGCGTTCTTTAGAAAGCTGTTAAGAAAGAGTGAGATCAGAAGCATTTTAGATATGACTGATACAGCTATTTTACTGCAGTGATACATCTTATCATCGAGCTTGTCTCAGTGTAATGATTACCGCAGATAAAGTCTACGTCAGTAGAAACTTATCTGAGAGGAAATGCAACTTTGGGCATGGAAAGGAAGAAAAAAAAACAACCAAAAAACTTTTATAGCCTTTTATATGTTAAAAGGTCAGAGAAAACAAATAACACTTCATCTTTTTGTCAATAAGAGAATTGAGGTCACAGTTGCCTCGACAGTAACAAGTAACTAAGACCATAAATTAGAAGGCCCATAGTGTCTCTTTAAAGTCCTGTGGACACTGTTAGCAGTGGACTAGTGCCAACAGCTGTGAAGGGGTGAAGGGTCCTCAAAGCACAGTGCTTGCCAGGATTGTCTACACACTTCATCCTTTCCCACTGAGGTCCAGTTAGTGCCCCCTGCAATCTGCCATCATCAATCTAATTCAATAGAGTGACAGAGCCCAGGCAGTGTGAAATGCTGAACTCTGCCACCAAGTCGGCATCGACACTGCACTGGGTCTCATTACAACTGATGGACCTTACTTCACCAGCAGTCAGACAAAGCAAAAAATGGCATAATTGGTCACACTGCAAGCTAAATCTTCACTTGGACTGTTACATTACAGCCTAGACTTTGTAAATGGTAAACAGGTCTTAAAAAAACCCTTAAACTGCCTTTAGAAAACATCACGTTATTTAGAACCATACTTTCGCCTGATACCCTTTTCTGATTCTATGTTGCACAAATACCTGTAGTTTCAGACTCAAACAAATTACCAAGGAAAAAAAAAGAGGAAGAAGTGTTTTAAATATGTAACTTGTTGATAAAAATATCAGAACATAAAAGAGGAAAATGTATCTTACAAAATGAAAAGAAAGATTTTTTTTTTAAAAGCTAGGTTGGAAGAAGAAATGCTTGAAATTGTATTCTAGTGATACATTTTTGGGTGTCTATAAAGTTATTATGACATGAATTGCAACGAGAATCACTTGGCGTTTAATGCTGCCACTTTCCGGAGAGGTCTGTAACACGTTCTTGCATGAATTCAGCTCAAGAGTTACACCTGTAGATTGAGACTGGACTAAACAAAACAACTTGTAAGTAATTTTACGAAGAGGAAACTACCTGTATTACTGCAGATATTTTGGGTATGCTGGATATAATTTGATCAGTGCATCTTTAATTAAAGACCATTTGAGGCAAGAAGCGGAAAAAAGGTTTCTTCTTAGGCTTCCAATTATGTGCATGACACTTCAGAGACATGCTCTTTGCCATGACATAAATTCCTAACAATCAAATTAAGCTAGCACTATCCTGTAAATCTTAAAAAAGAAATTGCAGCTTTGCCCGGGTTTATAAAGCTTTCATTTTAAGGGAAATTACAACATGGGACATTACTGTACAGTCCTCTCATTGCTTTGGCTTTCCAGTATTATAATACAAAAGACCCAGTTTGTGTTGACTGAAAGAAGAAAAAAGTATTCTTCCATGCATGAGGACAGTCAGACAATGTGCTAAAAGTGAGAAAGCTGAAAGGTGTTTATCCTTCTTTCTCCACATATGGCAACAAATGGGGAAAAAAAAAACCTCCCTTGCTGCGTCCTTTGGTCTACTTTGCACCTTCCCAAGAGGGGATGGGACTCCTGAGCAATGCCCTCCTATGACCCTCGTACAGGCAGGAGGGGACCACGTGGTCATTTTAGGGCTGCCTCGGTAGCCTGGCAAGTGTCGTTTCAATACTGGGAGACCCCAGGGGTACGCGGCACTTCTTCCGTAAGCTGGAGGGAGCATTCACATACACGCAGTGACCTCTAATGGTTACAGCCTGAACAGGGCACCTGAGTGCTGCGGTCACAGGAGGGGGACTCCCTGGGGACCTCCTGGAGCGGGTCTGACACTACACCTGCTTGCAGAAAAATGCCCAACATCAGGCCGGTGTAGCATCTCTGCTACTTCTTTGTCCTATGGAACGGCACAGAAAAGCATCGGGTCAGAAGGGGAAGAAGGACCTATTAGAGAGCAATGTAGGGGAAAGGGACCTGGGGGTCCTGGTGGACAGCAGGATGACCATGAGCCAGCACTGTGCCCTTGTGGCCAAGAAGGCCAATGGCAGCCTGGGGTGTATCAGGAGGGGGGTGGTTAGTAGGTCAAGAGAGGTTCTCCTCCCGCTCTACTCTGCCCTGGTGAGACCGCATCTGGAATATTGTGTCCAGTTCTGGGCCCCTCAGTTCAAGAAGGACAGGGAACTGCTGGAGAGAGTCCAGCGTAGGGCTACAAAGATGATCAAGGGAGTGGAGCATCTCCCTTATGAGGAGCGGCTGAGGGAGCTGGGTCTCTTTAGTTTGCAGAAGAAGAGACTGAGGGGAGACCTCATTCATGTTTATAAATATTTAATGTCACGAGGATGGAGCCAGGCTCTTCTTCGGTGACAAACAATGATAGGACAAGGGGTAATGGGCACAAGCTGGAACACAGGAGGTTCCACTTAAATTTGAGAAGAAACTTCTTCTCAGTGAGGGTGACAGAGCACTGGAACAGGCTGCCCAGAGAGGTTGTGGAGTCTCCTTCTCTGGAGACATTCAAAACCCGCCTGGACGCCTTCCTGTGTAACCTCATCTAGGTGTTCCTGCTCCGGCAGGGGGATTGGACTGGATGATCTTTTGAGGTCCCTTCCAATCCCTAACGTTCTGTGATTCTGTGAAGGAAGAGGGGTCCCAGCTTTTCAGGAGCTGAAGACGGCTTGGATCCAATCTCTGCTCCAGGGCCTGCATCCTTCATTCATTATGAATGGCATTAGGGTCTTAGTTCAAGCAAAATACTGTAGCCAATGCTGATGTTAGATAATTACTGTATAATTTATAATGTGAAAAATCTTAAAGTAAAAAACCCCATTTGTTCAATGAAAATCAACGAATTTCATGTGAGAAACATAAGGCTTTAAGCTAGAGTCACTAAGGTGTTTTCAATTTAGTTTAAGTTAGTAATAAATAAGTAATAGGATGATACATCCATGTAACAAACCTGTATTTCTAACTGCGGAACCACTTGCATTTGCACCCGACACTGAGCAGTGCTTCTGTCATCCAACGCATGTTCATTGTTAAGGTGCCTGGAGAAGAAAGACAACACAAGTAAGACAGCATTAAGATGAGGAAAATTTCTTTAGGAGCCCATTTTTCTCTCCTGTGCATACAGCTTCCATTAGTTTTCAACGGGAGTTATACAGAAAGACCTAGTCAGAGCATGCCTTAGATACAACACTACAAAATAACAAAATTGATTATTTCATTTAGTTCTACTAACTTTCTCAGTGATGACTGACAGACACATAGTTCCTATCACCTGGGTCACATATGCCATCTAAAGGACAATGTAACTGGTTATCAGTATTTGGTAGAGTGACTGAACTAATTTCCACTCCCTGCTGTTGGAGCAAATGAACATAGAAACACCTTAAAAATTGTTGTGCAAAAGATGTAATTGCCTTTAGGCTGTTTGAACTACGATGAATTAAAGTAGACCTTGTTAAGATTTCTCTGTCTTTTCTTTAATCATTAAGCAAAACCAACAATTGAACATCCGTTCCTCCTTCCCCAAAACAGAGCTGTAGGGGATCATCACTGATTTTCACTGCAGTTCCTAGAAGTAGCCTCTGAAGATGATGGCAGTGATCAGGATCCCCACTCTGAGGAACTGTGCAAGGTAAAGGCGGGGGAAGGAACAACTACACCCCTTGCACACACAGCAAGCCTGGCAGGGATTCAGGATGCTCATGCCAGCTTACCAAAA